CAGCTTCCTGAGTAGCTGGGGTTATAGGTGTGTTTAGCTGTGCCTAGCTGAGTTTCCACTTCTTTAAATAAGAAATATGTGGGGAGCCCTGCGTGGGGCGCACTGCCAGACCCAGGAGGTGCAGATGTAGCCAAGCCACCTTAGGAGTCAGGAGCCCCCAGGACAGTGCAGAGGCGGGAGGGCAGCTGCCAGCAGGGGGAGCCCGCTCCCATACCCTCCTCTGCAGCAGGTCCGGGGCTGACCACGCCCGGGCATCCTGGAGGCCTCCGCCCGCAGCGTGAGCCTGATGGTGCGCGGCGTGTCGCTCAGCACGTTCTCCAGCTCCTAAGGGCTCCACAAGGCTGGTGGGCAGAGTGGCAGAGCAGGGGCACCCGGGTGAGAGGGAGAGGCGAGCCCCGCCTTCAGCCAGGACAGTGCGGACAGGACAGGGTGGGGAGGGGCAGTGTCCCTGTTCACTGGGAAGCTTGACAGTAGGGTCCCTAAGGTGTGGACCATCAAGGTGGTGAGGGCCAAGGTCCCACTCCATGGCAATGTCCTGCCCATGGGGGTGACACTTCCGCACACGGCCGGAAAGAATGGGGACCAGGGTGGGGTCCGGGCAGTGGGGAATACGGGAAGAAGGGGAGACTGGAGCCTCACATAGCCCAGGGGCCGTGCAGTGGATGTTTAATGAGCACGTACTATGTACAGAATCTGGGCTTGAGGTGACAAAAAGCCAGGCATGAGCTGGGTGCACTCCTGGGATCCCAGCTGGGCAGCTGAGGCAGGAGGATCACAAATTGGAGCCCAGCCAGGGTCGCTCAGCAACTTAGATCCTGCCTCAAAAAAATTTACAAAGCAGCTAGGAAAAAAAAAGGGGGGGGGCTGGGGATTTAGCTCAGTGGTTCTGCCACCTGCCTCGCAAGCTCAAGGACCTGAGTTCGATCCCTGGTACCAAAAAAAAACGATAAAAAGCAGCTAGGGATGTAGTCAGCATGAAAGCCCTGGGTTCAATCTCTAGAACCAAGGGAAAAACTGTATTTTTACAAGCAAGAAAGCTGAAAGTGATGAGGAATAGGATGACTACTGGCCAGGGACCTCCGAGGGCGTCAGGCACAGCCTTCTCTTTGTCCAAATGAGGAAACTGAGGCCCAGAGAGTCTTCATCACCTCCCAGGGTTCCACAGCCGAATCCAGGCCTGTGACGTGGGGATGGTAGTGGTTGTTCCCGGGTGGTGGCCAGAGGGATGGGGACAAAGGGGCTGGGGCTCCCCAAGACCAAAGCCCCATCTTCCACTGTCCAGGACAAGCGGTGATGTGTCCAGCAAGAGAAATGTACCCGCTACCTCGGGAGATGCAGGACAACTGACCGCGAAGAGCAGGCTGAGCAGACGCTGGGGACTGAGCCTTCCTGGGGACCCTGGTGTTGCCCAGAATATCTTCCTCTCCTTCCCTTCCTTCTTAGGGTACTGGGGTTAAACCCAGGTTTCCACACTGAGCTGCATCTGTGCACCCCCTCCCCTTTCTTCAGGGCAAGCTTTCCTTAAATCACTAAGTGTCCCAGGCCGGCCTTGAACCTGTGATCCTCCTGTTTCAGCCTCCCAGAGAGCTGGGATTGCAGGCGTGTACCACCTCACCTGGTTTCCCTTGGGCAGGGGGACGCGTGCTAAGGGGACCAGAGGAGAAACTTGGACCCCTTCTGGGCACCTCCCCAGGCCTCTGGGCTGTGCTCTGTGCCCAGCACCCAGCCTCCAACCCCAGTGACGGAGGGCTCCAGGCCCTCGGTGACAGGCCGGGGATTCAGACCCTGAAGCCTACCGGGAGTGCCCACTTCTGGTGATGACCATCATGACTGCCACCAGCCTTAGCTCCCAGGTGCCTTTGCTGTCCGGGTAACTCCCAGTCCTCTCTCCTGCTACCAGCCCAGTAGCACCCAGGACGTTACAGCAGAGCCATCTACTCACCATGCCACCTGGGGGACAAAACAGCAATTGGCCAACATTCCCTTGCTCTCCTTGGCCTTAGTAGCGCTGTCATCAGACCTGACCAATTCTGGTGGCACTGTGGCCCCGGCCACCAACTCCTCTTCTTCCCTCAAAGCCCCACCTTGGGAGGAGCCCTGTCAGGTCCTGTCCAAAGTGAACTCACCGAAACTGTGGCCCAGGAGGGAAAAAACGATCGCATTTCAAGGCTGAAAAGCCAAGGAGTTAGAAGGTGGCATGGCCTTCCCTCCCGCCTTCCTACAGTCTCTGGGGCTTGGTGGGTCCCTCTAGGGCACCTGGGCATTCCAGCCACCAGAGCAGCATAGGGGCCCAGCCCCGCTGCGGGGGACCCTGCGGGAGGAAGCAGCCCAGAGTCACCCGGGAATGGCGGGCCACCCATTCCCAGACTGGGGACGCTTCCTGGCTGCGTATCCGCTCCCATGACAGGAGAGTCCTGGCAAAACCCCAGCCCCCCAGTGCACCCACTCTCGCCTTCTACAACTCCGGGCATTGCTCACAAAGTTTCGGGACGATGTGGGAAGCCGGGGGTGGGGGGGGACAACAGCCCGTGGCCTGTGCAGTCCAGAGCGACACAGCGAAAGTCTGGGTGAGGAGGAGGGGTTGGAGAAGCGCCCACAAGGGCTGCCACCCTCCCTCCTAGCCCCGGGCTCCTGCTCTCCAGCCCACCCTGTGGGAGGAAGGGGAGAAGTCTGACAAGGGAGTTGGTGCTGTCCGGCCAGCTGTGCGGGCGGGGGCCCGGGGGCCCTTGGCAGAGCTCCCGACTTAGTTGGCGATGTGGCCCCAGGGCACAGTGGGCGTCAGCTCGGAAAGCAGACCTGTGAGTGAGACGAGGCAGCCTCCTCCCACACTTCGGCCAGCATCTGGACCTCCACCAGGTGAGAGACAGCCCAACCTGGCTCAGTGACCTGGAGCAGGAAGCACCTGGGTCCCCATGCGGGGAAAACCTTGTCCAGCTTCACGTGATGCCCTGGGCATGGCAGCATCTGCCTGTAACTCCACCACCTGGGAGGCTGAGGCAGGAGGGTCACAGTGAATCTGGCCAACCTGAACTACATAACATACAAAAGTAACTCCCAGTCCTCAAACACACCAAAACCTAAGGCAAAACAAAACAAAACAAAAAAAGAGCCCAAAGGGTGTCTGAAACCTTGGATAGTACCAAGCCATTGATAGCACAGGCTATCTTTTCCTATGCATGCTTAAGTTTAATTTAGAAATTAGGTGCAATAAGGTACTAACAACAGTCATAACAGAACGACTCCAACATATACCATAAAAAGAATTGTGTAAATGTAGGGTCTTTTTTTTTTTTTTTTGGTACCAGGGATCGAACTCGGGTCCTTGTGCTTATGAAACAGGCAGCAGAACCACTGGGGTAAATCCCCAGCCCAACATGGGGGTCTCTTAATGATCTTATGAGAACACAAGGTAAGGTCCCTGAAGTTTTCACGGCACTGCTCTGAAAAGCGGGCGATTTCAAACTGGACTTTCTGTTTAATATTTTTAGACCTTCAGTACCTGAAGCCTTGGACATCAAAATTATGCATAAGAGGAAACCCTGCTGGGTGTGGTAGCCAGGCCTGTGATCCCCTGCATTCGGGAGGCTGAGGCAGAAGAGTTGCCAGGAGTTCATGGTCAGCCTGGGCTACACAGCGAGATCAAGTCTCAAAAAACAACAGCAAAGAGGAGATGTCACAGCCCAGCTTTCTAACCCGTGCTGCTACCAGGCGGTGGGAGGGCTTCATGTGCCAACTACCCACGTCCTCATCGTCACCCTGGGGAGCGGCACCCTGAGGCAAAGGGAGCCGAAGCAGTGCCCAAGGTCATGCAGGAGACCGAGGAGGAGGAGGAGGAGGAGGAGATCTAGGGGAGACAGCAGACGCCGGGACCCCAGAGCTGACACCTCCCTGGATGTCCTGGGCCGCGCTGCCCTTCCCACCCGGCGGGACTGTGGGCCCCCTGATCTGGGTCTCGACTCCAGGCCCTAGAGCCGGAGACCCCGAGGCGCTGGGGACCCCACCCTCCAGAAAGTCTGCACACTGGGGCAGGGCACAGACGAGCGGCGACATTCAGGAGCACGGCGCGGACCGTCCCCTCCCCTTCACCATCCTGGCCTCCACGGCCCCAAGTAGGGGCAGGCGCCTGGGTGCTCGCGCCTGGGCTCCCCTACTCCTGCTCCAGTCTAGGGGGCTCTGGCAAGTGTCTTCACCCATCGCTGGAGCCCCCGGGCCCAGCTGCCGCTCCTCCTGGGAACAGTGAGGCCCGCAGCGCGCCGAGGCCTAACAGCTTCAGAGTCCCGCCTACCCCTGGGGCAGGATCGGGCGCAGCTCGCGAGCGACCAGAGATCCTCCATGCACGGGAGCTGAGGCGGCCAGTGTCCCCTGGGGGCCCGGGTCCTGACCCCGTGTGCCCACCGCGTCCAGGGGTCCTAGGTGGCACGGGGCGCAAAGCAGCCCTCATGGGCCCAGGAACGAGCGTGTAAAGGGGACTGGGAAACCCAGGAGAGCCGGTGCCGACAGCACCAGGAGCCCCGAGTTAGGAAAGGTTCGGGGTGACCAGGAGGACTCTCGCACACCCCTGCGTTGCTGCAAGCGGCAAGTAAGGGCGGGCTTTCCCGGTCACTGGACACCAGTGGCCGGAGGAGGAGAACCGAATGGCGAATTCTTTCTAGGGGCTCCAGGAACCCCGCTCTGGAGGCGGAGAAGACCACTGGGGTGTGGTGCCTTCCAAGGAGGCTGACCTCTTTCCTCAGCTGCCTTGAGGACCTCCCGCCAGCCCTTTTCACAGATGCCTCCACTGGGCCTGGGAAGGCCTCAGCCCCTGTGTCCACGCTGGGCGTCCCTCTGAGCTCCGTCACCCTTGTGCCATCTCTTTTTCCGCCTGCCCCGCCCCATTCCATGCCTGTGGCCCCTGGGCTGGAAGCTAAGAAATATCACTTCCTGCTATGTGTAGCACAGCACCCCTTGCAACCCCACCGTAGCCCTGAGCTCGGACAGTGAACCTCGGGGCCCACTGTTACCTGGTTCTCGGCTCCTGATGTCACCGGCCACTGGGTCTCTGCGTAGGAACCAACCTCCACGCTCGAACCTGTCCGGGGTGATGAAGATGTGAAAATATAGACACAGAAACAAGCTAAAATTCGTGAGGGCAGGAGGCTCACGTCTCCCTCCAACCTGGAGCCCGGAAGGACGGGTGCACCTTGGCTTTTCTCACTCAGACGCAGGCGCGAGCAATTCCGGTTGCACAGGATTCAGCTGTGCCCGCTCCCGGGAGCTTCTCGGGGAACAGTTTAACCTCAGGTGTTTTTGGCACCTCGTGGCAGCTCGCTCCCGGCCGCCTTTCTCCTCGGTGCTCGCCGAGGGGGCCAATCAGGTCTCGTCTTCCCATCTGATCTCCACAGCTCTGGCCGCGTGTCAGCCCCTCAAGCTGGGAGCAGGTCTTGTCCTGCACACAGTAGGGCTCATTCGAGGTCTGCCGATTGAACTGGCTGAGAAGTGCCGAGCTCAGCTCGCTGTGAGCTCCCGCAACCAACTGCATGCAGTGGGAGGGGCTCGTGTGCGCTTCCTGCAGTCTTAGGCTCTTACCCCTGGTTTGTGATCCTCAGGTTAAACTAGCAGCCACATCCCGAGATGGGAGCCACCTGTGAGGGACAGAGGCGTTCCCAGGAGCCCCTGCTTCAGCAGCCGGAGGAAGCCCCCCCTGTGCAGTAAAAACCATGCCTGACACAAACACTGCGTGGGCTCCTCGATTGCATTCTGGAACAGCGACAGAAAACTGGGGCCTCTAAATAGAGCCCGGTGTCTAGTGCCAGACCCGACTTGATTTCGAGCTTCACACTGAGGTGCCTGAGATGCTAAGACAGGAAACTGGATGAAGGGTAGCAAGGAAATCGTGGCCTATCACTGCAGTTCTGAAATCTAATATTGTGCTACAAATGAAGAGTTTACTTACTTCTCTTTGGTATCGGGAATCTAACTCAGGGCCTTGCGCTTGCCAGGCAGGTGACACACCGCTGAGCTAAATCCCCGGCAGGAGTTTATTTTTGTTTTGTTTTTTCGGTACCAGGGACTGAACTCAGGCAGGCACAGCGCCACTGAGCTAAATCTCTAGCCCAGTTTTACACAAGAGTTTATTTTTGTAAATAATCCAGACCGGAATATTTGACTTCATGGTTCAGATTTTAATTACATACACGAGGGACTTACATGTACATTGTAAGGTAAAATGTGCAGTCATTAACAAGATTGCCATGCTGTGTTCCAACCTGCTATGACTTAAAATTTTAAAAATTTCCCAATGTATGTATCGAAAGTTTTACATTTCTAAAAAAGTTTAGCTGTATCCTAAATATTGTATTTCCACTCTCACTGAGTTGTATATAGTTTGTGGTTGTCTGCCTTTTGTTTCTTAAGACAGTCTTGCTATGTAGATCAGGCTAGTCTTGAACTCACTAGGTAGCCCAGGCTGGCGTCAAACTCATGGTGATCCTCCTGCCTCAGCCTCCCAAGTGCCGGTATTATGGGCATGCGCCACCATGCCCGGCTCATAGTTGTTTCTGTTCTTTTTTTCAGTGCTGGGAGTGGAACATGGGGCCTTCTACACACTAGGCAAGTGATCTACCGTGGAGCACATCCTAGCTCTTTCCATTTTTATTTTGAGACAGGTCTTTCTAAATTGTCCAGGCTGCCTTGGACTTGTGATCCTGCCTCAGCCTCCCAAGTAGCACATATCATGGTTACTCTCTCATTTCTGGGACAAAATGCCTACAAGTTAAAAGAGGAGAGGTTTGTTTTGGTCCACAGTCTGCTGAGGTTCAGTTCCTCGCTGGCTGGCTTCAAGGCAGGGTGGCATGGCGGCAGGGCCATCGCACAGGAGAAACAGCTCATGGCAGGGTAGGCAGGAAACATTAGCTTCCTCCGTTCCCTTTTTATTCCACCCAGGCCACAAGCCCATTGGTGGATGCCATGCCCCCAGGGTGGGTTTTCCCTCTCTAGTGAATCCATTCATTACCCGCACCCAGAACTATGCTAAAGCCATCAGTACCACACACCCATGATCCAGGGTCACACACCCATGACCCCGTTACTCCCGAAAGCGCACAAAGCCTCGGGGGATGTCTGGACATAAACGGCAGCAGCACGGTTCACTGTGTTCAGCTGGCAGTGCATCTGCACCGTCCCCAGATGAAAGGGCTGCAGGAAAGCTAGGGGGAAGGGCCTTGGGCGCTGGTGCCGCTTGACAGGGTACTCGAGACTGAGCGGACCGGAGTTCAGTCGGGTCCGAGTTCCGGAGGCTGGGAAGCCCCGAGCGTGGTTTCTGAGTTTGTCGTGCGGTGTCAGCCCATGGCAGAAGGCGAAGAAGAAGGGCCGAGGAGAGGCCCAGAGGAACTGAGTAACAGCGTTATTCACCTCTGCGAGTTCGTGTCTCAGTGCATGCATTGGAAATCACCTTCCAGCCCCTCAGATTTCCGGATATAGTCAGACCGTAGCAGTGGATACCTTGTTTGCACCGCATTTCTTCTTTCCACCACCCGCTTCCTTCAAAACAGTTCTTCTGGGTGTCCTAAGCTGGGCGTGGTGGCACACATCTGTCATCCCAGAACTCGGGAGGCTGAGGCGGGAGGATTGCAGTGAGTTCAACGGCAGCCTGGACTACATAGTGAGAACCTGTCTCAAAAAGCACCAGCTCCCTCATGACGAGCGTCATCATGTAGTATAAATAAGCACTAATAGAAAAACTTCCTCTGTTAATTTCTCAGTATTCCTCAGTGTCTTTTGTTTTGTTTGTTTTATTTTGGCACTGGAGATCTGAACTCGGGACGGTGCACTTACAAGGCAGGTGCGCTGCCGCTGTGCTAAATCCCCAGCCTTTGCTTTTGTTTTTGGTGGGACCCTGGCCTTCACAGATGAGGAACAGATCCAAGGTTTGAATTTACGTCAATTTGATGGGTGGAAAACTATCTCAGGGTGCCTAAAATTAGAATTTTTCTTTTTATAAATCCGCTCACTCATCCTTCTATGTATTTAAAGGTGGCTTGTATTTTGAAATGTCCTTTCTCCGTTAAAAAAATGTCTTAGAACCCTTAAATGTTAGAGAGGTAAACACGACGTGAATTCACCCTCTGCCCAGTAGACGGTGTGCAGTTGTCTGCAGAAAGCCCTGGCCGCTGCGTGCTGGTTCGGGCGGTGATGGGACAGAGCAGACGCATGCGCAGGGCCAGGATACCGCGAGCTTCCGAACTGGACTTTTCCTTTTCGTTCCTTAGCTTGCCTGCGAAAGTGCTTTGGGGGGTTGTGGGCCTCTGGCTTCCTGTTTTTGTTGTTTTGTGGCAATGGGGATTGAAGCTAGGGCTTTTGCACGGAGTAACAACCCTAGCCCTTTTTACTTATTTTTGAGACAGGCGCCCAGTAAGTCACTAAGTGGGGCTTGAACTTGGGATCTTCCTGCCTCAGCCTTCCCTGGTCTGCTTTCACGTGTATTTATGACGATACGGTCAAGCTCTGCGGGGAGGTTGCTGGGATCTCATTTCCAGTGCCTAAGGGCTGCTGTTCTGCAGAGACAGCACTGACAGCGGGGGACCTGCACTGCCTCAGCTTGTGATGGATCGGATCTTATCAGAGCTCCACTCGGGCTTGGCCCCAGTGCCCCGGGTGGCTGCAGCGGCAGCGCCTGGGCTTCGAGTGGCGAGTTAGGGAAGGTGTGCGGCTTGGGCACACAGCCCCGGAGGGCGCTGCAGCCCTCTGTGCCTGCCCAGTGGCTGCCAGCTGCCCCCGCTTGACACCTGACTGGCCTAACACACAGTGGCCGGAGCCGCCCGCGCCAGCTCAGCTGTCGCCCCCACGCCCCACATCCTGTGGCCTGATCTGGTCTGTGGTTCTTCTCAACGAACAAGGAGCCCTCAGTAGGTGGCGCGCGATTCCCAGGGCTCCCGCGGGCTTCTTCACCGGGCGCGGTGTCTTTCAGTGACGTGCGCCTCCACTGGCTGAAGACGGACGGCACCGGGTAGATTGAGTGTTCTCAATACTGGGGACTGGACCCAGGACGTTTGCACTAAACTACATCGTCCACCTGTTTTTTTTTTTTTTTTTTTTTTTTTTTTTTTTTTTAGTTTTATATTTTTAGACCAGTTCTCACTAAGTCCCTAAATTGTCCAGGCTGGGGTTGGACTCGTGATCCTCCTGCCTCAGCCTCCCAGAGCGCTACGATCATAGACGTGCACCACACCTGGTTCACTCCCTGGAGAATTTTGACAGAAGAATGGATTTATCATTGTTCCCACTGGGCAGCCAGCCCCCCCCATTGGACGGGATGCAAGCGGGGTTGGGAGGGCGTGGCCGAGGCCAGGGTGCGGGCCTGGAGGAGAGCGGAGGTGAGCGGAGGTGGTGGGAGGCAGCAGACCAGGGATCTCTGTTGGAAAACCAAAGAGTCCAGCGTTGCCAGAATAGCAGTGGGGGCAGGGAGACTCCGGGGAGGATGAGTCACTGTGAGCGGGGCACAGCCGGAGTGGAGTGTGCATAACTATGTACTCTCTGTGTAGCCCAGGATGGCCTCGAATTCTCCAGGAATAACTGATGTATTAACTTGCTCCTGTTGGCCCGTGGTCCTCCTCACGGCCCTGTGCTTTCCGGCCTCTGCCCAGCCTCTAAGAGCGGAGCAAGGCTTTTCCTTGGCTCTCCTTGGCTCCTGCTTGGCGGTGTGTGTGCTGTCACCCACTCAACAGGTGACCTCGCCTACACCGGAAGAGTCACAAAGTATGGTCAGTCCCAAAGTCGGGCCTCCACTCCCGTTAAACTATTCACATACTCTCACCAGGCACGGTAGTGCACGCTTGTGATCGAAGCACTCGGGAGGCTGAGGCAGGAGGATCACCATGAGTTCGTTGCCAGCCCGGGCCACATGGTAAGTTCCAGGCCAGCCTGAATTGCATGGCGAGACCCTGTCTCCAAATCCAAACCAAACCAAACCAAACTGAACTGAATCAAGTCAAACCAAACGAAATCGAGCACCATAGTTTCACTGATGTAACAACCTGTGTCCTGCAGCTTCATTTTAAAACAAATTTTTTTCTAGTACCGGTGATTGAACCCAGAGCCCTTTACACTGAGCTATGTCTCCCACCCTTTAAAAAAATGTTGAGACAGAGTTTCCCTAAATCACCTAGGCTGGCCTCAAATTTGGGATCCTTCTGTCTCAGCCTCCCGAGGGCTAGGATCACAA